TGTAGAATGAAATTGATCGATGAAGTTTTCTATAGCTTAGATGAAAAGCATCAGGACCTATTAACCAATTCCTGCTTTGGACATTTGTTATGCCTAAGAAAGATAAAACTTGCATCCCAATTAGTTCACCAATTGATTCTGAGGTCAATAAGTACCTCAAAAGAAAATGAAGTATTTATTAAGGTTGGAGACAAGCTTGCAAGATTTGGATTGCAAGAATTCACACTGGTGACTGGGCTTAAAGCGGGGGATTTGGAGAACGAGGATCCGAAGCTAGGGCAAAATTGTAGACTCGTGAAAGAGCGTTTTAAGCGTAGCAACGGCAAAATAAAGAGAGGTTTATTGTTACAAGTTTTCAAACGCTGCAAGCATAAGAATGATAAATATAAGTTGGGCCTCCTCGTCATATTGATGTACGTGGTTTTGGCAGCAGAGGAGAATACATTTGTTAACCCATGGTTGTTTTATTTGGTGGATGATCTCGATAGATTTAACAACTATTCATGGGGGAGAAAGTCATACGAGTACACTATTAAGGTTTTTAAACGTAATTTGGGAGACATGTTGAAGGGTTATACAACTTCTCAGCGATATCCGTATTCTCTGCATGGATTTCCATTTGCAATCATGGTAATATGTTCTAAAATCATTTAAACTTTACATTTTATTTAATTATGTTACTAAAAATTAAATTTATGATTGTACAGATTTGGGCATTTGAAGCAATTCCCGGTGTTGGAAAGAAATTCGGTCGTGTAACAGTCGATTCCAGAATTCCAAGAATGATAAGCTGGGAAATGTCCAAGCAACTTAGGGGGGAAACACTTTGCACATTTTTTGAATCGTCAAATGTAAGTTTTATTTATCAAAATGTAAATGGCGTATCAATAATTATAATAAAACAATTTGCTGAATAATTATACATTCTTGTTTTTTCAGATAGAGGTACATTGTACGCTTAATCCTACAGACGATGAATTGCTGGAGCCGTTCTGGAAGGAATCCGGACCTTTTGATAGTGAAGCGGATCCTAAGTTGGAAAAAGTTGCTTCCAAGGATGAAGGCTGAGAGTGATGATGCTCGGTCAAGTTTCACTCGCCCACAATGTCCTAAGACATCAGATCGACCATCTATGTCTAGCCATCTACATTCATCCAAGACAGCTAGACGACCCCCACCTTCTTATGACTATATCACTCATATAATAAAACAAGAAATAAGAGGTGTTGAAGAGAGGCTCCGAGGCGAGATGTCAGATCGCTTCGATCGAGTAGAAAGGAAAATTGATTTATTTCTCCAATTGGCTGGACAAGGTGGAGTTCAGTCGGAAAGAAGCAAATTTGATGATCGTGCTTTTAGTAAAGGCAATCAACAGAACAAAGAGACAAGAGAGCGAGATGAGGTAATTATTGAAGAATGCTTTCATGAAGAAGTCACACCGAATAAGCAATCTGAGGCTTTTCCTACATATGATGATGGTATATTCTCTCTTGTACATTTTGCAATAAGTTACAAATAATTTTTATGTTGGGTTCCGTTTGTTGGATTTGTAGGATTTTTATGTTGGGTCCCATTTGTAGGATTTCTGCCAGATCCTTCATCTGCTATAGTTTTGTACCAACAACGGCCTTTAGTCTGGACTGAAGAGACCTTTCGAACCGAGGAAGCTCGACAAGATGATGTCACAGAGAAGGTGGCTAGGACAAAAGAGGATTCAAACATATCTAACAAAGGTACAAATAATTTACGTTTCAATATTTCACTTTTCAATCTTGTGTGTTAAAATGGAATGAATTGTGTTCCATCAACTTTTGTAGATGATTATGAGAAGCCTTCGACATCTTCGCATGTTTGCCAACCTAGTAATGAAATCATTGTCATCGAGGATCCGAATTCTGAATTGCCTGTAGGAAGGGGGCATCGAGTTAAGAGAAGAGCAGCCGTGCTGCTTTCTCCATACACTAATCCCTTAAAGAGGAGAAAATTGTTGAACATTCAAGCATATGACCCTTTAAGGGAAGTAGATCCTGCAAAAGTTGAAGACCTCAACAAGTGGTTGGCAAATGCATCCACAAGGTAATTTATTTTATTCCAGTGGTTGGCGTAGTGAAGGGTGTAATTTCGAATTTGCAAGTTAGCTTAGTTTGATATTATTGTTGTCACAGTGATACAGTAACCTTGGCTATCTGTGAAGTGCGAAGGAAATTCTTTGATGAACTATTGAAAGATGACGGGTGGCTTATCGATGATGTAAGTAATATTTGTATATTAGAATTATTTTTACTGAAAAATGCATTTAATTAATCATGTTTTGGTGTACAGCATATCGACTCGGCCTTATACCACATTAGGGAAAGGGCAGTGACATATCCACATATATTTCAGCAAGATTGTGCTATATTGGATTGTTATTTTTGGCAACTTGTGAAAAAAGCCTACCTAAAAATGGGTGCACGTAAAAAGAAAAATGGTAACTATGTATTTGACCAAGAGCTCGTCGATTATGTTGAAGGGGCTTCACCGGTGCTCGGTAAACACTGGAGTAACTGTAAATTTTTGTATGTTCCTTACTGTGTACCGGGTTCTCATTGGTTTGCACTGAAGATTGATTTGACGGAGCGAACTATTTACATTTACGATAGTTTGCCAAAACACATCCGCGCTGCTCAGCTGGCCGAATGCATGAAACCTATTCAAGTGGTAATTCCCTTGTTGATAAAGGAACACATAGCGCGTGAAGAAAAATTCAGCACCAGCATGTTTCGTTATCAGAGGGTTGTAGTTCCTGAACAAACAAACGGGTAAACTTGGTTGAATATAACATTTAGCACCAATATCTTTGACTTCTTTCGTCTAATTCATGTCTATCTAATTTTTTTCCCATTATGAATTTGTAGGTCTGATTGTGGGCTTTTCACAGTGAAATTCATTGAGTTTTTACAAGCTCAATTGAATATGGATTTGATTCGTCCGGAATATATGTCTATTTGGAGGAACAAATTAGCTGCAGAGATATTTGCATGGCACTTTGATCCGTAGATTTAGTGAATGTTTTGAAGTTATTTTTGTATTTAGACCTTGGAGATTGATTTTGCAACCTAGTAAATCCTTCAAGTTGAATGTTAATTGAAGTGACAGCTTTTATGTCTTTCATTTAAATGTGCTTATGCATTTCTATGAAAATGGTAATTTGGTTTAGGGTTTTGGTCAAGTTTTGTTCTTGAGAACGGCGCTTGTGCCGTTAATGATATGAAAGAAAAGCCAAAAGAACGGCATAACTGTCGTTATGTTGTTCGGTCATTGTATGCGAGAACACCACTAGTGTCGTTATTGATTTTGAAAAGATAGGGAGAACGACACAAGTAGCGTTATAAAGACACAAACATATTCATAAGAACGACACAAGTGTCGTTACCACTTATAGAGAATGACACAACTGTCGTTATAGTGACAAACATAATAACGGGAATGACACCTTACCGTATTTGCAAACAAATACCGTATTTTTTCAATATAAGCGTTAACAAAATATTAAATATTAAATTTTCAGATTTGCATTTTTATTTCATTAGAAGTTAGATTTACAAGTCTACGAGAACGACACTTGTGTCGTTACTGATCTTGAAAAGATATTGAGAACGACAAAACTGCCGTTATTCTGACAAAATTAATAACGGGAATGACACCGGTAGTATTTGCAAACAACTTACCTTATTTTGTCAATATAAGCGTAAAATAAATGTTAAATATTAATTTTCAGATTTGGGAGATACCCTCATTAGTTTGATTTTCTAACGAATGTGGATGGTGACTTGTGATTTCACCGAAATGCATGCCAATTCCCTCACTATCCGTCACGTAATCTATAATTCTGACTTCCTTAAGTTAGGAGGTCCGATCTTCGAGGTCGACGCGGAGGAAATGAAGCGAAAAATGGGAGAAATAGACAGAACGACACAAGTGTCGTTAAACGACACTTGTGTCGTTCTGTCAGTAAACACGAGTTTGAGCAGCCACGAGCCTTTCGAGCCCCTATATTCGACAAGTTTAACTCATTTGAGTCTCGAGACACTTGTGTCGTTCTGTCAATAAACACGAGTTTGAGCAGCCACGAGCCTTTCGGGCCCCTGTATTCGACAAGTTTAGCTCATTTGAGTCACGAGATGGACATGCTACTCACAACATTTGAGAGATACTCGCATTACTTGGACAACATGATAAATGAGAACAACACTAGTGCTGTTACTGTTTTTGAAAACAGCACAAGTGTCGTTAGTTATATAAACACAATACGAATAATTGATAACTTATATATTTATAAATAAATTGTCATTAAATCAATAATGTTTAATTTCTGAACAATATTTTTATATTTTCTGGGTAAAATACAAAAAACGGCACCAGTGATGTTTCGATATGACAACAAAATATATATGCCATTATGGCTTTATCGATTCTAAGATAATGACAAAATGAATCATTCCAAAGATTTTAAATAGTTTACATTTAGGAATGACAAAAGCAGTACATCATAACACCACCGTCCTTTTTAATACTACAAAAGAAGCACATCATAAAAGTCAAAATTCAACAGATGTGCGGTTTTATCTTCATCATTCATGTCTCTCGCTAAGTGGTACACGATCTGTACAAGTGATACGGTTATGCCCAGTTTTCAAACACCTACTGCACTTACGAGACTTGCGCACCTCTCCGGCTGATTGTTTCCTTTTTTTTTGGTGGACGTCCACTTCCTCTTCGTGTCAACGGTCGTATCACCTTTCTTGATCGAACACTATCGGGAATTTTCCAGTCCACCTCATTTGACAGTGGATATATATATTCAGAATAAGCTTGTTTCTAGTAAGAAGTGCTATAAAATGGAGAGCAAAACCTGTAACAGTTGTCTCCAACATCCCTTACTACTGCAATTGCATGTGCACATGGAAATTGGTCCAGATCAAATTCCTTACATGTGCATGTCCCCCTCTCCAAATTAACAATGAAACTTTCTATTTTATCACTCACTTGCATTTCATCTAGGCTAAGAGCTTTTACCTCAAAACCTTTTGACTCATTATACCTATCGTACATTTTCTCCTCCATTGGCGGGGGGAGATAGCTTGTACATTTTTTGGCATCAATGCGCCTATCATGAAACCAACTCTGCATCTTTTCCCTGATATACTCGATCAAAGCAAGTATAGGAAATTCTCGAGCACTTCTCAACAATGAATTTAATGATTCTGCATTGTTTGTGGTCATAGTATTGTATCTGATTCCATTGAAATGTGCTCTTGACCAATACTCCACGCCAACCTCTTCCTCTAAGTATTCTCTGATTTTCTCGTGTAGACTGCACAATGCTTGCATATTAATCTCAAATTTTGCCAAACTCTATGCCTGTGCAGTAGCTCTAAACAATGGCACAATATCTATGCGAGGGAATTTGCTCTTCAAGTTAGTTTGCAAATGCCATATACAATGTCCATGATGTGCGTTAAGATAGACGCTGTTGAAACCATTTGATATGCTTGTTGCATTGTCAGATATAAAGACTAGCTCGTCTGTGTCATCGGTTATTTGTCGTAACTTCTGAAAGAACCAAGTCCATGAGTCATTGTTTTCTAAATCCACTATGCCCCACGCAAGTGGATAAATTTGACGATTTGCATCTTGGCATGTGGCAACAAGTAACGTACCTCGATACTTAGATTTCAAAAATGTTCCATCCACACAAATTACCCGTCGAATTGAAGAGAGAAATCCACGTATGCTTGGTCCTAATGCCATAAAAAAATATATGAAATGTCCATCATTATCGGTTTCAATAAAGGTCAACGTACCAGGATTATTTTTCTCCAGAATGTGACAATACATTGGTAACTTTGCATAGCTATCATCAGGGCTACCTCGAACCTCTTTGTAAGCAAATTCTTTGGCCATATACGCCTTGTGATATTTTATAGTTATGCCAAACTCTCGACGAACGTCATTGATAATGTTTCTTGGTCTGTACACTATGTTGGCATCATGATATTTTGGAGCTACATGTTTTCCAATTACCGAATAGGTAGCATGTCTATTATCCCTGCGACGAACACTCATAGAGCAAATGTGATGGCTAGAATATTTTCGTATTTGAAAAATCTCAGATTCAGCTATGCTCGTTGCCCGTAAACGCCAGTTACAAATTTTCTCAACACAAACGACTGTATAAACACTCTTATTTGATTTCTTCACTTTAAATTCAAATTGGTACTTCATGGCAAGTAGCTGGAGTTTTGATATCAAAGCACTTTTAGTTGGAAATAGTTCATCATCATGTACATCCTCATTTTCTGGAATCCTAACTGATGATCTATAAGGAATTGAACACAGGACTTGTGTTAAAGTACCAATAATGTCCTCTTCCATGGAGAAATCAACATTGTTTTCATTTCTCGGAGGAGATTTATCTTCGAAATCTTGTTGTTCGGAACTACCTTGAATTATATGCAAGTTATCCCAATCCACAGAGTTTCCTTCTTCTACGTTATCATTTCCATGATCGCCATCATATAGCTCAACTTCATTTTGATGGCTCACATCTCCCTTTTCTACTTCACCATTAGTTTCTACTCCACAATCTCTTTCAAACTCCCTTACACTATCACATTCACCTGTAACTTTAGTCGAAATAGTCACGCAAAGAGGATGTTTTTTACAAATAGAAAGAAACCACTTCACTTTCATGTCACTGTTAATCCTTTGTGGTGGAACTGAAAACTTAGACATTCCAGGATTAAGGGACATCATCTCAATTTCATATAACTTTGAATCCACATTAACAAGTTCTTGCACTTTGTTGTACAACTCTATATACGAAATGCTAGATGGAACATAAAGAATATCCACATTTTCTTCACCGTTTCCTATATAATCCCATGTCCATTTGCTTTCTTCAGTCTTTTTAAACTCGACAAAATAGCATACTTGTACCCATATCATTTCTACAGAATCCATACCTGTAAAAAAAAAAAAAAGTTAAATAATTTACTCAAGTATATATCAAAGTAATATGAAAATAGTTACCATATTTGAATGATCAAAGTAACCACAATATATCATCAATAATGGACAGATCATAACAGATAACGGTTGTACTATCGTTTTACATGGTATATAACGACTGTAGTGTCGTTCTGAACTACTAATAACGACTGGAGTGTCGTTATCGTCCAATAGTTGCGGACGATGCAAATATACACCAAATGCGAAAATAAAATCAACTAAAATATCATTTTATACTATATTCAACAATAAAAATACCAATATAAATGAGATTTCTAAAAATACCTTTCTTCTTTCTTTAAATATAGTAGAAATTTCAATGTGGATAATGTAGACACCAAAATCCTTGTTAAAATGCTCAAAATATTAGAGAAGATAGATGAAGAATGCAATGAATAACAAGATTTTAAGGAAGCATCCACCAGGAAAGCCGTCCACTGATTTTTGCTGATGATTTGAGGGATTTAATTGGATTGAAATGGGTATTTGAGTCTTTTCAATGGTGAGGGTATTTTAGACATTTGATCTTATTTGTTTATTGTTTTTTTTAAGTGGAGGCTATTTTATCAAATAACATTGAAGGAAGGTTATTTTACAAATAACATTGTTTGACTGAGTTTTTTTTATCAAATTCCCCTAATAAAAAGGATAATTTATTATCTAGGCAAGCAAATCAATCTACAAAAGCTGAAAATGGGTTGTCCAGAGGTTGGAAACTTGCACACACCTTCAATCTTGTCCTGCCTACAATTTAATATTTTGTACTAGTGGACAAAAGCAAGAACCAGGGAATGAAATTCGTTGTAATGCCGACGATCGCCTTTTCGATGGTCACCGGAATTTTTCATAAATGCAGCGACTGCCTCTTCATTGATTGCTAACAGAGTTAATCTATCATCTTAATGAATATTTTTTATTTGGGTATTTCATCAAGCATTTTGGTAGACGGTAAAAAGGGGTTGATTTGCATCAGATTTTTGATTTTCTAGAAACCGTTTCCATAATCCATCTTCTCCACTAGCTTCACATCAACTCAAAACTCAGATAGCCCATTCAATTGAATTTTGTGGCTCCAGTAATTTGCTACATTTATGCTCTTTGTTGCTTGATTTTTAATGCTTGAAATATCAAACAACGATGGTTCACCTTTTCATTTTCATCTTTTCTTGAGTCTTTTCTATTTCATTTGGTATTGAATTGTTCCAAATGATGAATATGGCCGACAAAAAGGGGAGCGAATAGGGCTTTTTTTGGACCAACTCATACGATTTTCATATTTCCTTCCATGGCCATTTTAACGACCAACCCTCGCTGAAAAATTTTACTAACTTTAGAAACTTTCCAATTATTCTCGTAGTTGATCTCCATTATTTTCTGTTGAAGAGACTGTGGTTGCTATCTTTGTTTTTTAGTAGAACTAATCGCTTTAAAAATACATCTTTGCTCTGTCGCTTTTTGAATGTGGTTAGAACATAGTTAAAGTATTGATTCCGACAGACGAGGTCAATGTGTTAGACCTAAAGAATTAAGCCAATAAAGTCCTGACCTTGTCTCTCTACGTAGACGGCACCTGCACATTTGGAATGAAATGAAGCCACCCATATATAGGAAATGAAGATGGGCTGAGCGCATTTATAGGCCTTGTCCAAGTCCAATAGCAAAGCCCAATATGCAATAATTTATATGTATAACAATAAATGCACAAGAAAAATCAATGACGTGCGATTTATTGGGAGGGGTTAAGATTGACCGTTAATGGTGGAGTTCAGAAGCCTTTTTTTTTGTTCCTCAATTATAAGAAGGAGCATGTTACCATTTTGGCAAAAAATTATATATGTTAACGTCAAAAAATGATTAG